CGGAAATGTTTGCTTCCGTGAATGTATCGGAAATCATACCGATAGATTGATTAACAATCGCAATCATTTAAATTTCAAACACTCTATAAAATCAAGCAAGTAAAGATTTAATTATCTGACGTAGTGAACAATTTAAAAAAAAAGAGAAATAAACAACGAAATATACTTCTAACGGTCGTCTCAAATTGATAAGAACAGAACGTTTCAATTACGTCGTGACGACGACCACGGGGTCCCTAAACATTTATTCCCCCATTACGTTCATTTATGGGACAACCATACATGCGTGACCGTTGTTTTTACTTCTCTGAATAGAGAGGATTAACCGTTTAACGGATTAAACGTTAAATCACAGGCATCGGCAAGGAGTTGGCTCTTCGTCTCTCCAACTATGGAGGTCACGTAGTCGCGCTATCGAAGACGAGGCGAAACCTCGAGGAACTGCACGCGGAGGATCCTCGCATTCAGGTTGCCTGCGTCGATCTTAACGACTGGGACGCCACGAGGAATGCGGTGGAAAGCGTGCTACCGATTGATCTTCTGGTGAACAACGCCGGTGTCGCGCGCCTTAACTCTTTCCTCGACATCACGGAGCAGGACTTCGACGTGACATTCGCTGTAAACGTAAAGTCGATATTGAATGTCTCCCAGGTGGTCGCTAGATCTCTGATCGAGAGGAAAGTGGGCGGCAGTATCGTTAATCTTTCCTCGCAAGCTAGCCAGGCAGCGTTAATGGATCATACCGTCTATTGCGCTTCCAAAGGCGCAGTGGACATGCTATCCAAGTAAGTTAGAATTTTAGCTTTCATTTGTTTCGCACGTCGCAGCATCAGGTATACTTACAATGTCTCTTTCACGACATGATATTGAAAGAAAATTAATTGTTACGATTCGTGTATTTAACCTGTGATTAAAAAAAAAAAAAAAAAATATTTAAAAACTTAGATCACTGACCAAGGACATACGCTGTGTCCAGGCCCAAATTCGAGATCCAAATTTTGAACGAAGCTTAAACGACGAAGTTGAATATTATTCAAACGACAGTTGCGATCCATTGATTAGAATTTTTACATCTTTCGGTCAGTTTCTTTTTGCAAATAAAACCGATCCATGGACAATGAAATACTTGCGTCATATAGTGAAATGATGGAATTAATCGCTTTGTGCCTCTTCTTGTTTACACAAGTGCTGCCATCTGTAGTGCTAGAAATTTGACGAGAATAGACTATGTGCTGCCATCTGTTGGAATCGACTAAAGTGAAAGGTTTTGGTGACATTGGATAGATGTAGGTAGGTTATTCTTGTCTGATACACGAACAGGTGGCAGCACCTCTGTAGACAAAGAGCAAGATAGTGTACGACAAAGACAAACGTGACCGACAAGGAAAAGAATAGTGTACAAAGATAACGATACGGTGCTGAGGGACCGAATTCTCATTTGGAAAAAAAAAAAAAAGAAAAGAAATTAATGAAACTAATTTGCACACATTAATAATATCTTTCAAATTAAATTTCAAGTTTCCTTCCTATATTCCACTTGACCTGCGAAAAGCATCGATGAAGATTTGCAAATTCTTGATCGAACAGCTTCGTATTAAACTTAATTAATCACATTTTCACGCTTCGTTAATTAAGATTCCGTGCATACACATTTCAGAGCACGATATATTCTCCAGACTCAATTTCAATGCAAATTTTAAACACAACTCACGTCTCAATCGAACGGAGAGGCAGAAAATGAGCAGAATTTGTAAATCCGTATTCATGGATTTCGTAGGTGTGGTGGAGTGATATTTCCACCTCGAACAGGCATTCAATGCAATCGACATTTTTTTTTTTTTTTTCTTGCAGAACAATGGCCCTGGAACTTGGCCCGCACAATATACGAGTGAACACGGTAAACCCTACAGTGATCATGACAGAAATGGGGAAGATAGGCTGGAGCGACCCGAACAAAGCGCGAACCATGCTAAGCAAAATACCACTGGGTCGATTCGGAGGTAGGTTCGTTCTGAAGTATCGTAGAAATGATACTTCACTCTACGCGTTATGATTGCAGAAGTGTCCGAGGTGGTTGACGCGGTGGTCTATTTGTTGAGCGATCGTAGCTCGATGATCAACGGAGTCACGTTGCCGGTGGATGGTGGCTTTTTGGCCATGTAAATTGCAGAAGCTTCAACCATTTCTCGTGACGGAACTGTACCACTGTAATTCTCAATTCCAAAGACGTTGTGAACAATGTATCGAGCGAAAACGAAAAGAGACTTTATTAAATATAAAAAAAAAAAAAAA